TGCACAAATGATGCAGATGTGTTGGGATGTGGATCCATCCAAAAGACCAACTAGTAGAGAGCTTCGGAACTTTGCTTATAATAAACTTGGAGAAATTCTTGATAATAATAATAGTAGTAGTAGTAGCAATATTAATAATATTATTTATTCACAACAAATTTATAAACCACATCCATTAGCATATCATACAAGTAGAATATTAAATGAAAGAAATTTCTAAATTAAATTTAAGTAATGATAGCTTATTAAGTTATGAAATATAAGTTTAGTAGTGCTTTATGGCTTATTTTATTATTAAGAACTAAAGGGAAATGAAAAAGGAAATTTTGATTCTACACTACCTGGAAGAAAGCACCTTTTTGATTACTCTGCAAAATTTTGCATAACAAAAAAATATCAATTTGCATATTAATTTTAATGCATAAAGCAATAAAATTCATTATTTTATAACATTCTAATAAAATTTCTTCTTGAGGAATTTTTGACAATTTTTCTTTTCAAAGAAACCTCTAATTCCGTTAGGATAGCCTTTTCTTTTTTCAATTGCCTTTCGAGTTCATCCTCAATGATGCTCAATTGGATTAAGGTCTGATGGTTGAGAAGGTCAACCTTAATTTTTTCGCGTAATCCTATTTTTCACATCATGAACAAGTACATTGTTATCTTGAAATAAATAATTTACCATACATGATAAAATTGTGAATTTTGCGGAATAATCAAAAAGGTGCGTCCCAGACACTTTCTTCCGAGCAGTGTCGCGTCAAAAACATTTTGTTTTTAAAATATTAAATATTATTGATGATGATACCTGAAATATAACTTTTTTTATATAAGAAATGGATTTTAAATCGCACGATTAAGTTTTGGGTTGATGAAATTGTTCACGTGGCGTAAAAATAAACTTTGATTCTGATTGAATTACTGAAGAAATGCCTGTTTTTTTTTTCACAGGATAAGTTATCATGGAAAAAATAAAGAATCATAATCCTTGTTCGATATAATTCGAAAGAGACATTTTCATTTGTAAATGTTGTGAGTTGATTAAAAAATCAAGAATTATAAGCTTTTAATTAAATTTATTCTGGTACTTATATCTATTGATAAATGGATTATTAAATAATATGCTTTAAATTATACTAAAAAGACAGAATCCTCTGCACACAATGCTTTATTATCTTTTTCTATTAATGCCAAAGAAGATTTTATTTCTTCAACTCTTCTATATTATTTTCTACTGATAATTCATTTATTTCCTCGAGTAAGTCATCAACTTTATTTTTGGAGGAAACGTTGGAGTTGATGTAATTTGTTAAGTAGTTCTCTGAACATTTCCAATCTAATTTTAAAGATAATTGATCAGAAGGATTATTTGTTTTAATAAAAATAATTACCGATTTTGTGATATTTATGTTTTTATCTCTTCTTGGAGACAAGTCTACTTCCATTCTGCCTTTCCCGTTATATATTGATGGTCTTTTTAATTATTATCAAAGTTTAAGAAAAGCATTTTTCCAAAAAACAAAAAAAAAAATCCTTAAATAATAATAACATCCTACATTATCAGCTTATTATGGTCTCTATTATTAAGATTATTCATTGCCTACATTAACATTAACATTAACATTAACATTAACATTATCATCGCCATCATCATTGGTATCTTCTTCCTCCTCCTCCTGCTTCCTTTCTTTTGATGATTATATCGATCCAGAATGGTGCTTAGCATGCTCAATGTGTTATACACTTAACCCAAGAAGTAGAATACTATATGAATATGATAGGAACCGAGAATTATGATACCATTAATAAATTTGCTACAACGACGAATTTATTCCGCAAACAAGTGTCGTTGAAACTGCTATGGTTATATTTATATCAACAGCCAGATATTTATAATACTAATCCTGAATGCTTTATTAATGGTGTTAGTATGGAAAAGCAAATTTGTTGTTGTTATTTATTATTTGGGAAAATTGACCCAAATGTCATGGTTATCGAGACGAATAATTAGTAATTACACATATGGGCAAATTTTCGTCATGTAGTTAGCACAAGTGAGTAAGTTATTACTTTTTTATAGCATTTCGAAATGACGTTTGTTTTAATAAAAAATGGCCATTGCAATCTTGGAGAGAAAAAAAAACCCCCAAGCTTAGAAGGTTATAATAGACAAAATATTCATTATAATAGCTGTTAAAATTTTACAATGGAATTCCAACAATAATAATAATTTGA